ATAGTTGCTTAGAGTTGCAGCTGAGAGGCCGGCAAGTGAGGCGGGGAACGTTGGAGTCTGCAGCAAGCAAGCCTCCCTGCTCGCTTCAGTGCCTGGCTGCCGGCCGCCATCTTGGCTGACAGTTAATTTGCATATACTCACTGATTAGCCAATGAAAAGGGTAGCGGTCGTACGCTAATTACCATGTTTCTCTTTTATTAGTGTAGATATGTATATATATATATATGATGTACCTACTGATAGATATATTAGATATATCAGCCAGAATAACTAAGGACAGTGAAAGTGAATTAGCTAGGAAAAGTGATATTTAAGAGAGCAATAGTTTAAAAATTATACTTCTTAAATTTCACCCAAGATTTGCACCACTTTATTTGTCCATTTATTCAACCATTAACACATATTCTTTGAGTCCTCATTATGTGTCAGGCACTGTCCTAGACACTAAAGAGACAGTAATGAATAAGTTGTTGCAGTCTTTTGCCTTTCTAGGCTTGTTCTAGCAGAGGAAACCGATTTTAAACAACCAAATTTATACTATGTCATGTGGCGATAGGTGCTGTTAAGTAAAGCAAAATTAAAGAATAGAGAATAATAGGAAGGCGTTTTAATTTTAGAAAAGGTGGCCAAACAAGGCCTCTCTGGTAAACTGACATTTTCTCATGAATTAAATGGGTGAGCCAGCCACATGAATATTTGTAGGAAAGATATTCCAGGCATAGGCCAATATGTGCAAAAGCCCTGAGGCAAGTGTGTTCTTGGTATATTCACAGAAAAGCTGGAACAGAGTAAATGAGGAAGATAAGGTCAATGAAAGGATCAGAGTTTGATAATGGTGAGGACTTTAGACTTTATCTCTAGTGAGATGAGAAGCCATGGGGTGGGGTTGAGGAAAGAAGTAACAAGCTATGACATATTTTTAAAGGACATGGAAAATAAACTATTGGGGGATATTTTAGCATACAGCATAAAAGTCAAATACCAATGACTTAAACACATGAAGGCTTGTTTTTCTATCACAAAAAGTAACTTCAAAGGCGAGCAGTCCCAGTTGCCATGACACTATGGAACTCCAAAGTCATCAGGACCTGGGTTTTTTCATTCTTCTACTTCCCCACTCTCTTTTGTTTGTTTGTTTGTTTGTTGTGGGGTTTTTTTGTTAATCCTCACCCAAGGATATTTTTCCATTGATTTTTTTAGAGAGAGTGGAAGAGAGGGGCAGAATCGGAGAGAGAGTAACATCAATGTGAGACCACATGAGGAATCAAGCCTGCAACTGAGATATGTACCGTTGACCTGAATTGAACCTGGGACACTTCAGTCTGCAGGCCGATGCTCTATCCACAGAGAAAAACTGGGTAGGACTACTTCCCCATTCTTAACAAGTCACCTCATAGTTAGAGATGACAGCTGAAAATGGAGCCATGACAATAACATTCCAGGAAGCATGGAAGAGGAAGAAGGACAAATAGAACATGCCTCCTATTGTGTCAGTTCTATTCTAGGAAACTTCCCAGATGTCCTGTACCACACTTCCCCTTGCATCTCATTGGCCAACTCTCAACCACAAAGAAGGCCAGGAATAGATAGCATTTGAGCAAGTTCATTGCTTTCCCAAATAAAAACTGGGGCTCTGCTACCAAGGAAGACAAAGAACTAGAAACATGGGAATCAATTAAGAGGTCATTTGAAATTATCCTGGCTCAAAATTATGTTGATTAGGACTAAGTTCGTCCCAATTGAACTACTGATGTATGCAACACATATTAAAGATTCAGGGATATGAGAAGAAGGAAGTCTAGGACACCTCCAAGGGTTCTGGCCTGAATCATTAGACAAGTACAATTCCAATAGGTGAGATGGGAAAGTGTATGTTGATATTTACATGATCAAAACTGGTCTCAGACACAAATGATATGCTCTTCACCATCTCTCCACCATCCAACTCTAATCTTACATCCCTGACACTCTCATTACTCTGGAATATATTCTGTGTTACTGCCTGCATCACATATTTTATAACTAGAAATTTTACCCTTTTCTATTTTCTCCTTAATTAGTTTTTCTTTAGTGATAATACACACTCCTAATATTAACTATTATTCTTCATTGTTTTCTGTATCTCATACAGATGTCACAGGCCACTTAACAAGCATTCACAAGTCATCTGTTGAATTGAATCTGATCTGTGTCCTTTCTCTGTTCTCATTCTTTCTAGAAGTTATGACCCATATCTCTATAATAAAAAACTCAGAGTTTCATTCTAGGCAACCCTGCTCCCTGCCAACAATTTTTGTATCCTATCTGTACAGAAACAGGTGTCTACTACTTACCCTCACATTCCTATCAATGGTCCCACTTCCTAAAAGAAAGAGGATACTTCAGATAACAGACCTTCCCTCTGCATAGGATGAGGTTCTGCCCTCCCAAACTGGACTCATTTATTCTAAATAATATGGGAGTGAAATATGGCCTGAACCAGGAATATTAAGGAAAATCATTCTTGGAGGGTGAGAGGTTGGGGCAAGTATTTGGGTTTCTCAGATCTTGAAACTCTGAGAGTGAGAAGCCAACTGTATATTCTGCACGTCCCTGCGTTTCTTTTGCCCTCTATTCTCCCTCTGGAGCTTCTCCATCTTCATTTCTTGGCCCTATCAACACCATTCCTGGATTGAACATTTACCTGGAACTAATGGGACATCCAGAGACTCAGGCTAAATCTGAGGACTTTTAGTGGGAAAACTTCTTCCAAATGGTATAAAGCAAGAACACTTAAGTGCCTGAAGGGCATCTCATTCTCCAGCAGATTTGACTCCTTTGAAGAGAGTCCTGGTTAAAGGTCTCCAACCAGTATCTTCTCTCTGAGTTGAAGCTTTAGGTCTGTAATTTTCCTTCATCATTGCTAGTCTGCAGACCATAGATGGCTGTCAATAAGTCAACATTCCCCATGGCCACTGGTTATACACACACACCACAAAGGCAAGAGTCTAAATTGACATACCACTTTTCCTAAAGGGTACTAATTAAGTGATTTGCCTGCAAACTTCTCTTTGCTAATACAGAAAAGTAAAAACAGCTTCCAGAGTATCTATATATATAGAAGGCTAAGCGACCAGTCGACTGGTCACTATGACATGCACTGACCACCAGGGGGCAGACGCTCAATGCAGGAGCTGCCCCCTAGTGTTCAGTGCGCTCCCACAGCCAACCTCCCATGGCCGGCCAACCTCCCATGGTCCCTCCCCCACACTGGCTGTGGTTCCTCCCTCAGTTCCTCCCCCTCAGCCAGCAGGCCCCGATAGGCCCTGATTTCCGGCCAGGCCGAGGGACCCCACCCGTGCACAAATTCATGCACCGGACCTCTAGTAGAATGATAAAATGCCATCTGTAAGAGACAAGTATCAAAATGGTATCAGTTAATCTCTTCAAAATATTATTTTTTTTTCTCATGTAGCCTTGCTCTTACTTTAACAAGAAGAAATCCTTCTGGAACTGTTAAGTATATTTCTAGTAAAAAATAGTGTTTTAGTGAAGAGTTTTATAGGTATCTGTTACTAATCACATTTCCCAAGCAATTTTTATTCACCAATGAACAAAGTCACTTTGATAACCATTTGTTATTATCAGCCATTGAAATGGGCAATACTTTTTATTCTCATTTAACATAAGTAAACAAAGAGGCTAAATGACTGAATTAGTCACTTGGTGATGTGGTGAAGGAATTGAAATTTGAATTCTTAGTCTCTTCCAGCTTCCCAGACCCTAGAGCTAAGTGGCTGGTTTTGCAATACGGAAGCCTATTTATATGACTTTCCATGGGACCAGGAAGTCAAAACCACAACAGGGTAAAAGCAGGAAAACGTCGCCTTTTTGGCAGGGAATTTCAAAGGCAGCAGCATTAACCGATGTCAGAGCATTTTGCTACATTGTGGGGGCTGCCCTGGACAAGCATGACTACAAAGTGCTTGAGTAAGAAAGCATATTCTTTCAGAAAACTGGTAACTTCCTTGTATTTCAAAAATTAAAATAATCAAGCTCTATGCTTACAAGAATCCAAAGAAAGAGCTTTCATTTTGAACCCTATGACCACTTCTTCCTTCCATAGCAAAATCTCAATTTGGTCCAAGAATAAATTGTCAACAAGTACTAGAATTTATCCAAAAAAACTACCCTCCCTCCTTTCCCATAAAAGTGATAGAAATATATATATACTGATGTCATCACCGATCTCCAAATTCTACAGACCTTTAACGTGCAGGAAGTTGAGAATGCTTGTGTTGGTGTCTAGCAGGAGCAGTTGGCCATTCTCCACCGTGACGTTGTCGCCATCTTGTGGCGCCCGTTCAGGAAACCAGCTGTAAGCCCTTGACCACCTCCGACAGAAATGAAAGGAAACATTGCCCTGGAAAACAGAGTTTTGTTGTTCTGTTTTGTTTTAAAGCTGGATAGAATGAGTGAGCAATCAAAATATAAACTCCTTACACTAAACTTAATTTAAATATAATTTTGAAAGTCTCAATAAACTTAGCCACCCTCTCTTCTGCATACAACTAAATCAAAAAGGGGCAAAGTTATCTTTAAAGCCCCTTTGTGGCAGTCGCTGGAATTCTCCAATGACAGGCTTGTAATGTTTTCCTCACCTTTTTTTGCTAGCATAAGCCCCCTTCTACCTAACAGATGGGGTAGATTCTATTTTTTATTTTTACAGACAACATATTGAGTCTTGGACAAAAAAGTCGCAAATAGCCTGAAATACAGAGAATTAAAATGTTCTGCATGATGGGTGGCATTTTGCTTTATGTAATTGGTATCATTTTTCACTAGCTGTACTGCAAGTGCCTTTTTTATAGGAACATTCTTCTTTCTAAGTGCTCAGATCCATCCTCCCACACTCTACCTGTTTTGGTATTACTGTGTTGTTGCCTTTCCCTCAGTGCTTGGTGCATCAGTGCTGAAAAAGCCCAGACACAGGTGAAATGCCAACCGACCTCAGATGGTAGCCCAGAACCTTTGAGTGAGGGGCAGGGAGCAAGACATGGAAGAGCCCAGAGGAGGAGGCACCCCCTCCCCATCCAGCCTTTAGGCTCCCTCTCAAAACTTTGGGCTTTCCTATTTATGGTCACACTGAAATCATATGGTTTTTTTTTTTTTTTCAAAAGAAGGGTGTTAAAATCACAGAAAGCAATATTTGGCTCATGCGAGAGGCCAAGAATATGTCTAAATGTCTTGTGCAGTTATGGAACCATAATGATGATAAATATAATGAAATCAGAATGGAGAAGGTGATCCCCTCAAGGTAATACACACAACATGTGTATGCCTCTCTCCACACAGTCCTTCTTCCCACACAGATTCCAACCAAATGTGAAGCCTGAGTTCCTATAAAATAACTGCCTAGAAGGTCCTCTCATGAGGTGTTTAAGGCAGATGGGAGAAGATCATTAAGAAGGGGAGGCATGTTTATAATACCAATAACTACACCTACACAGCAAATAGTGCCCTGGAGTGTTTCTGAGAGAGAAAAATAGAAAAATGTGTTGCCAGGAGAACCAGTAGATTTTCCAGGAGTGTGTACTAATACCCAGCTCAATAGTCACAAGTTTTATGCTCAACCCAATCCCCAGTAAGGCTTTGAAATAAGGAAAAGCAGGATCTTTTCATTTTCTATACCTGCAAAGGAGAAAACAAATCAGTGAGTCATCCCAATGTAAGAGAGAAAGTCTTAGGGGGTCAAAGGAAGACCATTCCTTTGGTATCTTCCATTCATTAGTTTGAGAACATTTTGTGACTTAGAATTAGCACTGATGCCTGCCACAGCTCTAAGTGAATTTTAAAGACTTTCTCTCTTACTCTGAAACATGTGTATGTATCATTTGCTGCCTTCCTTGTGTTATACCATCTTGGCTTGTCCTGTCAACCTTTTTTTTAAAAAAAAATATATTTTATTGATTTTTTACAGAGAGGAAGGGAGAGGGATAGAGAGTTAGAAACATAGATTAGATAGAAACATCTATCAGCTGCCTCTTGCACAGACCCTACTGGGGATGTGCCCGCAACCAAGGTACATGCCCTTGACTGGAATCGAACCTGGGACCCTTCAGTCCGCAGGCAGACGCTCTATCCACTGAGCCAAACCGGTTAGGGCTGTCCTGTCAACCTTCAAACATTGCTATACTCAGCCCCAACCCAGCAGAGAGAAAGGTCGAATATTGTTACATCTTCTTTACAATTGAGAAAGCCAAGGATCAAAGAGCTTAATTTCTGTGTCAAGGGCCACTGGGGTAGAAACAGACTGGATCATGCAGAGCAAGCTTTTCACTCATGGTGGCCTCTCTGGAACACTCTTCCACAAAGTATCTACATGGCTCACTCTCTTACTTTACTCAGGTCTCTGCTCAAATAACACATCTTTCCCTGTCTCCTTATTAAAATAATACCTCTAATCACTCCTTCTCCCCTAATACTTTCATCCAGGTATTGTATCATAGAATTCTGTATGTATTATCATATATTGCGCTTACTCAAATAAATAGCAGGTGCTTTGTTTGTTTTGGTCAATGTTATATTCCTAATCACCTAAGAAGTGTCAGGTGCACAATAAAAATCAATTATATAATTTCTTAAATGAATAATCTACCTGTTAACTCCATGTACACATTTATAGATATTACATACGACATATGCCTAAGCACTTTCCAGATACAATAAATAGACAAACAGGTGATAAGGCCTATAATATTTAAACGTGCTATATCTCCTAGATCTCCTGATTTGTTGGATTTAGCCCACATTCCTTTCTGTTTTCAAACTCTATTTAAATTTAAACCAAATGATGAGTGTATCTAAATTAAGCCCAAGATTTAGATTCAGTTTCCCTATGAAATCTTCTACCAATTTTTTTCACCTTAACTTTCTCTATTCAGTGTGGTAGATGCCAAAAGAATACAAATATCAAGCATTAAGTTTCAAAAGACCCAAGCTTCCCTGTGCCCAAACTTCTCCTTAGAATAATAAAGGTATCCTGAAATGTATACATTTTTATTGATGATTCATGCTTTAGTACATGATTGATTAAATACAAAAAGTCTTAGAAAATTCATGCAACTATCTAACAGCTACCTGGGGAAGTAGAAGAGCAATGTATCTCCATTACTGCAAGTTGTCAGTGAATCCATGAATGCAAGTATGTGCCATAAGAATTATTTTTAAATATATATTTTTATTGAGAGAGAGAAAAAAACATCGATGTGAAATAGAAACATGGATCAGCTGCCTCCTGCATGCCCCCTACTGGGGATTGAGCACACAACCTGGCCCTGTGCCCTGACCAAGAACCAAACCGGCGACATTCAACCAATTAAGCCACACCGGCTTGGGCTGTGCCATAAGAATTTTATCTCTGCTACATTTTCAGAGTTGACACACTGAGAGTATCGTTGCTTACACAGGGCAATGCCCCATGAAAACAATGGGGATGGCTCACTTTCCAACATCTTTATCCTCCAATCACTATCACTTTGATCCAAGCAAAGAAGAGTGACAGTACTGATAAAAGATATCTTGTCAATATATTTAAAAGCCTCTGAGCAGATATCAATATGATGTGAAAGCCATGCTCTGTGTCATCAGCCCAGCTTATAGGTCAACGTAGGTTTCACTTTCACCGAAAATGCTTTAAGCTCTTTCCATGCTAGCTCTCAAGGTGCTCAGCCTTTAGCTTTAGTTCCCTTCTTTGAGATAAATGAATCACTCACTACCATTCTGCAGGTGAAGAAAACCATTTCCCCATGGGCATAAGGAGGTGGGTGTGGAAATAGAGATTTAAGAATTATCCAGAACATGCCCTCACCTTTACCTCAGTATATGCAGCCCCAAATAAACCAGACAAGAAAACACAAGCAAACACTTCCCTGCCTCGGCTAGGAAGCTTATGCAATTTGTTTTCTTCTTACAGCATGTCAGCACTTCTCTGAACTTTAGGGAATGTGCAGCGTCTGCAAATCTCACATGTCACCTTAAATGTATTAGCAACACCACCAGAGTTATCTTGAAAGAAGTCATTGATCAGCAAGTTGCAACAACCAGGCAAAGCAAAGACCTTTTTGTGAGCGCATGTGTTAAGCTGGGGTGGTGGAGGAGGGAGATGGCGGCAATCTCTCTAGTCACAGGGTCTCCCGGATGACAAAGACAAGGAAGAAGTGTTTTGACACCTCACCAGAATGTCTTCTTCAGCATGAAAGCCTTGGAAATAGGAAAAGACAGGTCCCTGTAACCAACGTTCTCTACACTCCTTACCCTACTCTGTTTCCTCCAAAGCACTTATCAGCGCTGAAACATGGTATACAGTTATTTATTTATAGTTAGTCAACCCCCAGTAGAATGAGAGTTTCATGAGAGCTTCTTGGTTTTCTCTGGTATCCACAGTACATACAACAATGCCTGGTGTGCAACAGCTACCCCAAAAGCATGTTTGAGTGAATGAATAGTCAACTCTTACTTGGGCTCATAATTACTATGCCATAATTTAAAATATAATTTTAATAACAAAAAATAACTTGATATGAAGCTGAAATTTGTTTTTTAACCTTTTCAGTGCTCTTTTACATAGAAATGTTTTAATTTTTATAAAAAGCAAACATATTTATCTTTTCTTCTGTGGCATCCTCTATTATTTTATGCATATATACCCTTTTTTCATTCATTTATAAACATCATTTCTTGATTTGTAGATTTTATGTTTGCATGTTAATCCTTACCTAATTAAGAATTTATGTTGGTGGGAAGTTTTCCATTTCTGTTTTTAGCTTTTGCTTTTTTCCCCCAAATAGTTAACTGTTGACTGTTGTCACACCATTTATTATTAAATAACATTTGATCTCCCAAATAATACTCTTGGTTATTTAAATAATTGTATCATAATGTTGGGTGATGTTTAAATTGCCAATTAAAATCCCAAACCTGTTATATCTAAACTAATATAAAGATCTCTCTCTCTCTCTCTCTCTCTCTCTCTCTCTCTCTCTCAGATACATGTGATTTCAGCTTTGTTCTTGAGGTGTTCGTATTATTGAGAAAAAGACAAATATCCAGATAATTAGTATAAAGTGTGATTAATTCAACAATTAAAGGCAAAACCAAGGTGCTATGGGAGTTCAGAAGTTTGGACGGCTGACCCTGGTAGAGACTGCCTTACAGGTGAAATCCAGTGTATTGATCACCTGGTCTTTTTTTAATCTGGACACTACAGATAAATTAGCACAGGCTGAGATTATTTCACTTGATTAAAAAAAACAAAACAAAAAAATATGCTCATTGTAGAAAAGTCAAACATCTACAAATCCAAGATTACAAATAGAGCCCCTGACCTATAATCTAATAACTCCTTAGGGAACAAAAAGGAAA